TTGCTCATTTGTCACCTTTGAACCTTTGCTGTAGTAGAGATACTAATACACTTCATTTTTGATGAAAATATTCACTATAGAGCATACAGAATTAATTTCAAATAAGATCTCTATTTATAAATGCATAAGGAAAAATAATAAACTAGTATACATGTCTCTAAGAGTATGATTTAAATGATTACTGCTTAATCCTAAATTTATTTTTTCAAGAAAAAGACTTAAATACCTATCATTAATTTAAATACACTTGACACTTCCACAAAATGTAGAAATTGAATATCAAAGAAAGATGTGTCCTTTTTTTGCATTTTGTTTCCTTTATATGGTGAACAAACACTTGATAAGCAACATCCAAGTTTTATTTTCAACAGGAATCAGAAAACTGTAAAAGACAAACTGTTTTCCATCATACAAATGACTTGATCACAGATAATAAAATTGCGGTAACCTCAAAGCCTAAAGAACCGTGTAAATGGCTTCTCTGTTCCTTGAGACAGATGGTGGATCACAACAGAGATAGGTTATGAATTCCAAAAGGATTGCCCTCCAGGATATAACAAAAAATAACTGGAGAAGTAGATTTAAAATATAGTTAAAGTGGAACCAAAATAGAAAAATCACATCCATTTTTAAGAGATCAAGAAGACAGAAACAGAGAACATACAGATTGTATTAGAACTACTCCAGGAAGAAAATCATTTGAATTGAAATATTATGCGTATGTTAACAGAAGGAAATTGGAATGTATTTCAACATGATGAATAACGTTATCTGATTCATTATATGTCATGTCCAAAATTGTAGGAAACTGTAGCCTACTATGTCTATTAACCACCTTCTCACTTGTTGCTGGCTTAGAGGTGTGCCCACCAACCCTAGTCATTGTTGGAAGCTCTCAAACTCCTGTTTCTAGGTCTTTTTTTTTTTTTCAACGTTTTTTATTTATTTTTGGGACAGAGAGAGACAGAGCATGAACGGGGGAGGGGCAGAGAGAGAGGCAGACACAGAATCGGAAACAGGCTCCAGGCTCCGAGCCATCAGCCCAGAGCCCGACGCGGGGCTCGAACTCACGGACCGCGAGATCGTGACCTGGCTGAAGTCGGACGCTTAACCGACTGCGCCACCCAGGCGCCCCCTGTTTCTAGGTCTTAGCTGAATAACATGAGAGTGAGTTAGGAATTCTTATGGAAGAAAATTAGGGTTAATTAAGGAGATGTTGCATTTCACTCAAAGGAACCCAGCTTAAAATATAGACGATCTTATCTAGGTAAGGATCAACAATCGTCATTATCAAAAGGCCTATAATGAATGTCCAGGAAGGCACGTGGTAATGTGGTTTGGCAAAACATTCAGGAGTACCAATTTCAACACTGAATCCTTCCTATACGTATTCTCAGGCTATTTGGCTATATTATTTTACATGTATATATATCACCTGCTCCTGCATACATTCCCAGCCTCATCTCCCACCACTTTTTCCTCCTTTTTCCACACTCCAGCTCAGCTAGCCTTCTCTCAGAATGTGTCATGCTCTTTCCTGACTCAGAGACCTCACACCTGCTCTTCCCTCTGCCTAGGCTCTCCCCCCTGTTAACCAAAGTAACACCTATTCAGGGGTTAAGTCTCTTTTAATGTTATTTCCCCTCCTACAGCTTCACAGAAGCTTGCAGATTTTCTTCAATATATTAATCTCCGTTATGGTTAATTGTAATGTCTGTTTCCTAGGTAAATGACAAACTCCAAAAGAAGAGGGATCTTATCTGCCCCCCTCCAAACTGTATTTCTAATGCCTAGTACAGTATCTGGCTCATAGGAATGGCTCAATGAATATAAGTTGAATGAAAGGACAAATGTAGGATTTTTTTTTTGTTGAGTAGGTTGTTGCCTGAACTCTTCAAAAAGTCCTGCTGCTGCATCTGCAGAGACCAATGCCTTGAGGTACAAAAAAGGAAGGCTTCTTTTGGATACATAACTGCTTCGCTTCATTTACCTTCTGAAACCAGATGCAAACTTCAAGGCTTTCCCTATGGACATTTTGGTGACCAAGAAAAGTAACAAATGCCTGGAATTTGGGAGTGGATAGGACTAGAAGATGCCTTGAGTGAGTCTTCCTGGTGAGGGAAGTGACTGGCCCCATAAATCTTTAACGATGTACAGTGGAGTCCTCATGTACCAGAGCAGACACAGATCCCCCAACAGGCAGACTATGACCAAGTGGCAAATGACAGAGGGTCTTTGTGAGACCTGGAGTGATTCCATGGAGGCTTCGAACATATTATAATCTACTTCAGTATAAGGTTTGCTGATTATTATAACCTAGTGCAGTGTGGTCACAGTCCTCATGAGAGGACTCAGGAATAGGATGATTTTAAGAAAGGCCATCAAGGTAAGTCTTGAACACCCAGATATCTACTATAGTCAAGGTGCATTGTTGATATGTGGTATGATATACACTATGAAAGACTAGTTCACTGAGCCCTGCCTAACTCCTTATGAACAGACCTATCAGACAGTCCTGCTCAAAACTGTATTTCTGAGTTGGTATAGTATTAATATTCATGCATGCTTTCACTTTTGTTCAACAGACCAGCAATAAATTTGAAAAATTTACCTTGGGTGTCTGGGTAGCTCAGTCGGTTTTAGCGTCTGACTTTGGCTCAGGTCGTCATCTCATGGTTTGTGTGTTCGAGCCCCACATTGGGCTCGCTGCTGTAAGTGCAGAGCCTACTTCCAATCCTCTGTCCCCCACACTCTCTGCCCCTCCCCCTGCATACTCTCTCTCAAAAATAAATGTTAAAAAAATTATACCTATATCCCCTTCTTGAAGAGTCACAATGTGCATAGCATATTGAAGGGAAGTTCTGCACTAAAGAAGTCTTCAACTCATAGGACCATGGAAACCCGTTTTTTAGAAAACATTTATGTCTCAATAAGGATAGTCTTAGTAAACCTGCTGTATCAAACAACCTCTAACTTTCAGTGGCTTAAAATCACAAGGTCTATTTCTATCTCATGCTGCATATCCATAGTTGGTTGACTGGAGGTCCTGTGTCATGTGAGCCTCACTCTGGGATCCAAGGTGTCAGTACAGTCAGCATCTAAGCATTTTTGGTCGCTCTGGCAGAGAGGAGATAAGCTCTGGATGTCTTCACAGTGAAATGTTCTAGTCTGAAAGTGAAACTTGGAATTTTGTCTCATAACTCATTGGCCAGAACTAGTCACATGGTCCTCATCTGACCACATGCCTGGAGAGTAGACAGCCAGAAATACAACTAAACCTGTTCACCTGACTGAACATTAATGGTCACTGAACTACGGTTAGAAACCACTGCTGTTCACAGTTCTAAAAATAAGGATGACAATTACCGTTGAAGAATGTTTAACACCTATGCCATATTTAATCAGGAAGTATGGCAACTTGGAAGGTTGACTTTTTTTTTTCACACTTATCTAGGGAAAAGGGGTGTCACCAAAAAAAAAGTAAACAAAAATGAAAACAAAAACAAAAACAAAAAACAAAACCCCACAATTATTTTGGGAGATTTTAATAAAACAGTTTCTTTTCACTCAAAGTCTCTAGTAGAATTCCTACAACAAATAACAATCACTTTCCAGCCAATTCTTCATTGCTTCTTTCAAATACAAATATAAAATGGAATGCATGGGTAATTCTACAACATAGCCAATGTCTAGGCTACTAGAGGGAGGTAGACCATAAATGCCCATTTACAGTGTTTTCTTCACAGATGTGCAGAGTTAATGCTATCATCAGGAAAATCTTGTAATAAGAGCAATGAAGTTGGCACAGAATTCATCTATAAAAAATTCAATATATTTTGTGATACTATCAAAACCTCTGAAAATCTGTTAAGTCTACCAAATCAAACTGTCTAGTGCCTTGGTGTCTTTCATGATAGTTGGCCATAACAGTATCACATAATGACACAATACAAAAAGACAGTAATGATGTTCAGAAATAAGTACCTTGGTTTTGAGATGTTATCATCTGTATACCAAGCACAAAGAAGGTTCTTATCAGTGGACATTCAAAAGTTCTTAATGCGTTTTTTTTTCTGTGAGAAATACAAGGCATGTTAAATATGTATCATTTACTCAGCCATCTCCAAGTTCCACCCCACTTCCTCCTTACATATTTCCTATATACAATCATAGTTATATTACTTAATATATGTAAAATGCTTTAAGCGGTGCTTGGCACATAATAGTTACTAAGTGGAGGTGGTGGTTGTTGATGTTGTTATTATTATTATTATCTCATGTTTTACAAGTGATGCTGTATATTCATATGCCCTGCAGAAATTCTAAAGTATGATTTGCTTTAGGAAGTTCAATCCAGTGCTCCCAGAAGGAAGGAAGTCTAATATGCAAGGCATCTTCTATATGACATTTTTCTTGTTTGGGACAAAATAGGCATATCACCTTAGAAGTGACCAAATTGATCAAAAATGTGTTTAGAATTCTGTGTGTGTGTGTGTGTGTGTGTGTGTGTGTGTGTGCGCACCTCTTTAGGTAAATGTTACCAAGTGATTACCTGAAATGGCAAGCGTTGAGAACAAATTAAAATAATTAAAAAAAAATTTTTTTAAATGTTTATTTATTTTTGAGACAGAGAGAGACAGAGCATGAACGGGGGAGGGTCAGAGAGAGGGAGACACAGAATCCGAAACAGGCTCCAGGCTCTGAGCTGTCAGCACAGAGCCCAACGCAGGGCTTGAACTCATAAACCGTGAGATCATGACCTGAGCTGAAGTCGGCCGCCTAACCAACTGAGCCACCCAGGCGCCCCCAAATTAAAATAATTTTTGATAACTTTACCATGAAGACACTGGTTACAATAGCCCCTTCTCATATTGCATTACCCTCAGACTGTGGGAAATCACTTGCAAAATTATTAAAGTATTTAACCATATATTTTATTTTTATAGTAATGAATCTGATATGCTCTAATCTCCTTTTGTTTCTTATATATCTTCCATATATCATTCATTCCATTCACTTAAAGCATCATCTTCAGTTCCAGGTATTTCTGTTGGTGATTGGTCAAGAGAAGTTGAATCTTTGTATCTCACTAAGCTCAGCTCAGACGGTATCTCAGTTGATGAGGATTTCTCCCCCCAGAAAGACTTGACTGCCCCCCTAGAGAAAAAAACAAAAACAAAAATCCCTTGTGAAATGAAAACCAAAACGAAATAGATCTATATAATTTGCTCTATATAGAAGTGCCTCCTTAGTCATGATTTATTTTTAGTTTGTGTTGTATCAATTACATGGTGATAGTAGATGAGTCCTTAGACTGTACCAGAGTGTAAAGTCAGGTAAGTATTAGAAATATTTAAAAAAATGAATTAGTAGCTTATACTAACCAAGTTTGAGAGTTGTGGGAACTACAACTGGACAACACACATATACATTCAAAACACTTTTTTTAGCAATTACTATATAAAATTCTAAAAATTGCATTTCAAGCTCTTTTGTGGCTGGGAAGCAAGTCATGAGATTAGCCTGAAATGGAATAGTTGCAGGAGGTATAGAAGGTGTTGGACTGTTTCAAGATACATATGGGAGGCATTATGGACAGAGCTTTGGATTCATCAAACAAGAAGTGGGGACAGACAAGGAGGACATCAAGCAAGGGTGATGACTCAGCTGAGCCCTTTACCTACCAGTTTATAATTATGAATATCAGTACAAAGATCACAAATATACAGATAATAACTCCTATGGTCAGCACAAAAACTAGGACTGCATCAGTGTCTGGTCGGCTTGATCTTTTCATTTGCAATTCTAGAGAAAACACACACACCTGATGGTTATTACCACTGTATAAAAAAGGAGATACATATCTAAATGGAAACTTCACATCTAAAAAACAACTTTAGAAAAATACAGGAAGAATTAGTGGAAAGAAAGTTATTAGTAAGCTTGCTCATCACCTTTGAAATGTCCTTTTCTTTCTTTTTTTTTTTATTATAACTTACTGTCAAATTGGCTAACATATGTGTGTACAGTGTGCTCTTGGTTTTGGGGGTAGATTCCTGTGATTCATTGCATAATACAACACCCAGTGCTCAACCCAACAAGTGCCCTCCTCAACACCCATCACGCATTTTCCCCTCTACACCACCCCCCATCCAGCCTCAGTTTGTTTTCTGTATTTAAGAGTCTCTTATGCCTTGCCTCCCTCCCTCTCTGTTTGTAACTATTTCCTCCCTCCCTTCCCCCATGGTCTTCTGTTAAGTTTCTCAAGTTCCACTTATATATAAATGAAAATATAGGATATCTATCTTTCTCTGACTGACTTATTTCACTTAGCATAATACCCTCCAGTTCCAGCTATATTGCTGCAAATGGCAGGATTTCATTCTTTTTCATTGTCAAGTAGTATTCCATTGTATATATAAACCACATCTTCTTTATCCATTGATCGGTTGATGGACATGAAATGTCCCTTTCAAACATGCAGAAAAGTTGAAAGCATTTAACAGTGAACATCCTGTATTCCCACCACCTAGATACCATCAACATTTTACTATCCATCTGTCCATCCTTCTATAAATCCATTGATCCATCTTACTTTTTAAATGTATTTTAACATAATTTGCTAATGTCTGCCAATTCCCCACAAAAGTCTTCAACATGCATATCATTAACTAGAGTTCAATACTTGTTTATACTTTTTCTTTTGAGGTAAAATTTACCACGAATTGCACAAAGATTTTAAATGTACATTTATTTTGGCAAATGCAAACACACATATATAATTCAAACTCTATGAAGACTCAGGCTATTGCTATACCCCAGAGACTCCCTTTAGCCCCTCCCAGTTAATCCCTGCCCCATCCTCCAGAGGCAACTACTGTCCTGATTTTCTTTTCTACTACAGATTAGTTCTGCCTGTTCTAGAACTTTATAGGAATGGAAACATACACTATATATTCCTTAGTGTAAGGCTTTTTTTACTCAGCCCATTTTAGAGATTCACCTACACTGCTGCATGTATCAATAGTTTTTTTTTTCTTTTTTATTGACGAGTAGTAGTCCAATTTGTCTATTCATTTTCCTACTGATGGACATTCAGGCTGTTACAGCTTTAGGCTATTACAAATAAACTGCTGCAAACATTTTTATTCAAGTCATCTGCAAATGTACATTTCTCTTGGATAAATACCTAAGAGTGGAAGTGCTGGGTCATAAGGTAGAGGTACACTTTATTTTTCCAAGAAACTGTAAGATCTTTGCCCAAACTGATTGTACCCAAACTGATTGATTTCTTTTAATGAGCTAAAGTTTTTAATTTTGATGAAGCCTAATTTATCAATCTTCCCTTTTATGGTGATTGTTTTCTGAGTCATATCTAAGAAACCCTTGCCTACTCCTGAATCATGCAGATATTTTCTTATGTTTCCTTTTTTAAGCTTTATGGCTTTAGTGTTTACATTTAGGACTATGATATATATCTCTAATTTTTAGAAATGTTGTAAGATAGGGCTAGAGGTTTATGCTTTTATACAAATATCCACAGAGTACTTTTAAATTAGACATTCTCTCCCATGTCTTTTTGCTCTTCTTGCAAATAAGTCTATTAAATAGACAAAGCCAGTCTACCATATGTATTATAACATTGTTATGTTGTAAATTGGTGAAAAGCCAATTTATATCAAATTTTACTTACCTTACCAATTATATAGTTTTCTTTTGGTTCTTCCCAGTTCATAAATCATAGAACCATAAAGAATTCGTGTGAAGAAGGACCAGAGAGATTACCAAATGCAACTACTGAACTACACAGATAAGTAAACCAATGTTTAGGGAGGTTTAATGATTTGTGCAAGCTGTTTATATCTTGTAATAGTTTAATTTTGGTAAGTACCACCCTATCAGTAATAGTTTCCTGTATGGGCAATTTCAACTGCTTATTTGTCTGGATTTTCTTCCTACTCTTTAAACATGAAGGACTACAATTTTTCACTTTTCTTCTAATGCCAGAGGTATAAACTCAATTATTTTCTTCTTTCTAATGCCAGAGGTATAAACTCAATTAGTGATCTCACTAAATAGTTTCAAGTATGACAGAGAAATCACATCATATTGATATTCCAACATTGTTGGATTTTTAAAAATCTTTTTGTTTTTGATAATTTTAGATTTAGAGATGGCAGTGAGATTTTTTAAGCTCGAATGAAAGACACCTTTTAGTATTAAAACCTGAGAAGAAGAAATGGCAAAATTCCTTGCCATTTATTCACTACCCTGCAATACTAGCCTAGAGAGGATGGAGAGTGAAATTTCTATGGGAAGTATGCAGACATTAGCAAATTATGTTGAAATGCATTGAAAAAATAATATGGATCAATGGATTTATAGAAGGATGGATAGATCAATAGTAAAATGCTGATGGTAGTATCTAGATACTTCATTTCAACAGTAGTCTTCTTGCATGGATTATTTTTATATCTTGATTACTTTTATACCTAAAAAAAAAGTGGGCTGTGTTTCTTATTGAGATTTTTTAATGAAAATAGGTGAATTTCGATGTTCTAACTTCTTAGAAAAACTAAGCTTATTCCTGCATTCGTTTTCTAGGGTACCACAAACTGGGTGACTTAAAAACAGAAATTTATTGCCTCAAAGTTCTAGAGGCTAAACGTCTGAATGCAAGGTGTTGGTAAGGCCTTGCTCCCTCCAAAGTCTCTGGGGGCAGATCCTTCCTTTCTTCTTCCTGCTTCTGGTGGCCCCAGATGTTCCCTGACTTGTGGCAACATAACCCTAATCTCTGCCTCTGCTTTCACATGGCTGTCTTCTCCCTGTGTGTCTTTGTGTCTTCACATGACATTCTCATCCTTCTCATTCTGTGTTTGTGTCCAAATTTCCCTCTTCTTATAAGGATACCAGTCATAGTGAATTAAAGGCCCACTCCATTCTAGTATGTATGACCTTATGTTAACTGAACAAATTACATCTGCAATGATCCTATTTCCAAATACAGTCACATTCTGCGGTTCTGGGAGTTAGGACTTAAGAAAGGAAACACAATTCAATCCATAACAATGTCTGATTATAAAGACAACTGTTGTGGAAGTGAAAAATCTGATGTAAAGGGAATGGATGGGAAATTTTCTTTAACTAAATCATATTTACCCTAACAATATTGCAATTGTCTACTTGTTTCAAGCCAGTGCCATATTGTGGTGACATTTATACATTTATAGAGAAAATATTTGTTCAGTGTCCAAATAGCCAAAAGGGTCTATCGCAGTGGTGTTCCCAATTGTCAAAAGAAACGGATACCAAAGTGTTCTGAAAACATTTTGTCATTTAACCAGTGCATGTCCTGAGATGGCAGAGCTAACCCATCAGCCTTGGACTACTTGCTACAAGAGAGAAGTCAACTTTGTCTCATTTAAGGGCTAACATTTTGGGGTCTGTGTTCTAGCCCTTAGCTTACACAATATCAAATGCATATTGACTTCTAATCATAGGAAGAGGTATGGTCTTAACAAGGATTAGGCTGTAGGGACAAAAAGAAAGAATGGTCCCCAAACCATAAATACCCTGAACTAGTTAGTACTTACTGAGATATGTCTTAGTTTGATGAGGTTTGGCCCTTTCTTGCCTTTTTTTAGTACTTTATTGAAATTATCCTTTTAATAACACTTGATATCTCAACTGAAGAGCAAGATTATTAGCTTTCACCATAAATGTTTTTTTAAAGACACTAAACACATCAAAAAAAGTTATAGTTTATTTTTAAAAGTCACCTCCAAAATATTTTAGCTTTTTTCCATTTTGATAAACCGTGTTATGCTATCTCTACAGTGTATGGTATCTCTAAACTACAGCAAAAATTCTTTACATGGGATTGAGAAATAGCTTCAAGAAATCCATGAACTCTCTTAAAATAACAGGTAGCTCTTGGCATGTTTGTTTATGTGGGCATTTTTCTGGGAAAAGCCTCTTGAATCTTGATTGGATTCTCAAAAGACCTTGTGACCAAGCCCCCTCATACCGTCAATAACAATGACAACAATGGTAAAACTAGTTAAGAACAACTGAACAAAAGAAAATAGAGATATTAGACATTGTAGTCTAAACTGGAAGGATACGCCCATGGATTAATTTTGCAAGACAAGTACAGTTTCTAACATTTAAAGTTATGTTCAGGACAAGATTTGCCTTTTGTGACAAAAATTGAGGACTACATTATTGTTTCATCAAAAAAATATTTTCTTCAAATGAATAATTTTTAAAAAGCCATGTTTTGACATAACGTTTCTTAATTTTATTTATTTTACTGTGCCAAAATTGTTGTGTATCCGTGAGAATTCTATATATGCACTTTCACTTTTGTGATAGAAGTAAAATAATATAATTCAAGTTAGAGGACCGTTCTTTGGAAACACTTCAGGAATGCACCAGTTTCTCAAAGTGAAACACATCTGACTCTACTTTGTGAAAAAGAAATTAAGTACCACTGGGGTCCCTGGGTGGCTCAGTCGGTTAAGCACCAACTTCAGCTCAGGTCATGATCTTGCAGTTCGTGGGTTCAACCCCCGAGTCAGGCTCTGTACTGACAACTCAGCCTGGAGCCTTCTTCGGATTCTGTGTGTCTGTCTCTCTCTGCCCTTCCCCTGCTCGTGCTCTGCCTATCTCTCTCTCAAAAATAAATAAATAGTAAAAAAAAAATTCTTTTTAAAGAAATTAAGCATCACCTTGTAGAAAGTCTAAATGATAAAAACCAGTGATTTACAAAATGTTGTCTCTGGACCAGCAGCACCTGGGAACTTGTTAGAAATGCAAACTATTCTGCCAGCCCCACCCAAGACCTACTGAATCAGAAGCCATGGGGGTAGGGTTATCAATCTGTGTTGCAAGGTGTCCTCCAGATGATTTTGATGCTTTTTAAAGTTTGATATAAGCAAACAAAAACATTACTGGGCACTTACCACTTGTTGTATAGACTGTGAATTTAATAGATGCTACTATTTCATTATTATCCAAGGTGGCACACTCGAAAACCAAGGGGCGAACTTCCCTGCGTACTTCCAGGATTGCTGAGTCATTTGCAAGGATAACAGGTTGCTATTTAAAAAGGAAAAAAAAAAGTCCTAATATTCTTTATGTGGACTTAAGATCAGGAAACAATTTATTCCTCATAACAAAAGAGTAGTCATTGTCTTTCAGTGTAGGACAGTAATTAATTATACACATGGATTTTAGAGTCAGGCAATCCAGACAATCAAGTACCAACCTTACCATTTCCTGCCTATGTGACCCAGGACAAGTTTCCCATTGCTTCTCAGTTATTTATCTGTAAAATGGGTGCAATGATAAGGATTACCTCATAGATTGTTATGTGGGTTGAAAGAAATTGTAGCACTTGGTGTATGTCTGACACTTAATAAGCCCTCAATTAATGTTAGCTACTATTATCCTGATACAACTCCTAGGCAAACAAATGAAAAATTTGCTTCCAAAATAGAAAACTTTATATAAAATGGATGTTTTTAAGTTCTGATAATAGCTGACCCCAAGACATATATAAAGACTTAGCCCCACTTAATAATGAAAAATTTTAAATTTCAGTAATAACAAAGTTGTAAGATTTTTAACTTCATTTTTGCAAACTGTTGCTAAAGAGAGAGTTTTCTGATAGCCATCAAGCACTGGGACACAAATTTTTTTTTTTAATTTTTTTTTTTTCAACGTTTATTTATTTTTGGGACAGAGAGAGACAGAGCATGAACGGGCGAGGGGCAGAGAGAGAGGGAGACACAGAATTGGAAACAGGCTCCAGGCTCTGAGCCATCAGCCCAGAGCCCGACGCGGGGCTCGAACTCACGGACCGCGAGATCGTGACCTGGCTGAAGTCGGAAGCTTAACCGACTGCGCCACCCAGGCGCCCCACTGGGACACAAATTTTATCACTCACTAGAAAGCACCACATTACATACATTCATGACTTACTTGCTCTGGCCTTAGAAGTTTCCAAATATATTTGAAACGATTTACAGGAGATATATGAGTACATGCCATTCTAACACTGTCAAGACTTTCTGAAATTGGTCTACCCCCTAAAAACAAGGAAAATTAAATACATATATACCATTGGGCATTATAAATTGCTTTATACAAAGGCTACTTTTAAAAGCCACTATATAAATTATAAAATCAATTTTTTTAAATCAATTATATGCTGGACGTTATCAAAATTATTATTGAGAGTTTGAGTGTAGAAGAGCAGAGAGGAATAATGGATGCAAAGTAAAGTCATTAAAAGAAGCAGGTGGGAGACACCATAGCTGTCTGTTCCTTCTGCAGAATATATAGCAAAGGCAACCAATTCAGTGATCTATTAGATTAAACTTTGAGATCCGTTAGTGGCTTTCCATTTATTGGTTAGGGATTCCATTTATTGATTAGGATTACCACTAGAGGTAATGAACTCTCAAAGTAGTATAATTTGACACAGAACAGACCTCAAAGTTCTCAGTTTAAAGTCTGCCAATCTATTGATAATCATGCCAATCACTTGTCAAGACCAAAGTGTCAAAAGTATTTCACTATAGCACAGCCTTGATCACAGGCCCTGAGTATAATAAGGTTCTAGTGTATTACAAAGAATATACGTTAAATTTTAGACATAACTGAAAAAATGTAAAGCAAAAGTGGAAAGGTACTCAGAGCTATTACTGTCTAGAGAACTGGAATTTTAAGTTTTATTAAGTTTCAGTATTGATCAGCTCCTTCCACTCATGGCAGCCTGAGGTTAAAGCTATTTCCCCACAGTAAACTTTTCCCTTCTGTCTCCCCCCCCCAACACAGAGTCCAACTCACAGCCACAATCTACTGGTCCACGGCATTCTTCCACCCGTACAATACACTTGGATTCACCTCTAGGAGCATCCATTGTAGGATAACTTAATCTCTACACCTTTGGTAAAAGAAACCAGCAAGTGTTAAGAAAAATTCATTCCAGTTTCTTTTCTTTTTCCACCTAGGCTTTTTTTTTTTTTGAGACTTCTAATTTCAGAAGTTAAATTCCTAACTTCAGGGAGGTAATGCTTAGAATTATTTTATGCCCCTCATTTTGAATTATTTCATAAAACAGCATTTCCCAAAGTGAGTTACATGAAACACTAGTTCCTCTGGTTGTTAGCATAAGAAAAGGGATTCCACAATTAGACATTTGAAAATGATACATGAAATAAAATTAAAGGGTCCTCTTTATTTACAGAATTTGGGGAGAACTTTGAATATGCTAAGGAAATTAATGTGCTATAGTGTATAAGCTTTCAGTGATTGAAGATGTAAAATTTTTACATTTTAACATTTTTGAAATCAGAATTTACCTTTGAATTGACAACATGTGACAAATTGGCCGCATTTTTCCATTTTAGAGGTACATAAAATGTGCTTCGTATAGCTGATAAAGTCTTAGATTTGATGAAATACAGTAGTACACAGGATCTCCCAAATTCATCTGGCATGGAACTTTTAGAAGAGATTTTGGAACTCTAGAGAACATTCCCAAAATCACATTATATTTTTTCTTTTTTGAATGTTTATTTATTTGTTTTGAGAGGGGGGAAGGGGCAGAGAGGCCATGGGGGGGGGGGGCGGAGAGAATTCCAAGCAGGCTCCACATTGTCAGTGTAGAACCAGAGAGCTTGAACTCAAGAACTGTGAGATCATGAGCTGAGCTGAAATCAAGAGTCAGACGCTTAATGAAATGGACCACCCAGGTGCCCTGCCAGAATCACATTTTAAAACACAAATGATGATTTTTAATATTTAGATTAGTAAAATCTAAATTAGATTTAGTAAAATCTAAATATTTAGATTAGTAAAATCTATATTAAATATAGGAGGAGAAACTATTAAATCTCAATTTCTAGTAAGATACTCTCTTTAGAATTACCACACTTTTTTACAACAAGAAATCAACTCTTTACTAACAGATCTCAGATCTCCACTGGGTTTGCCTTTCATTGCCAGAATTGAGGAACATGATAAATGCTCAATCAGTGACATGATAAACATGTCGTATGGATAAGTGACCTGTGATAAGACGGTGTAGTCACAGGCTAAGGAACAGTACATCTTGATTTCCTTGTCTACCAGATTCCCTCTTTCAGCCTCTAAAGATGTTAATCATAAAACCCATTCAAGGGCAAGTTGAAGTCAACTTACAACAGTGACAGATGACTTACAACAGTGCTTCTCAAACTTTAGAGTGCATGCAATCACCTGGAAATCTTATTAACACGCAAATTCTGATTCAGTAGGTCTGGAGTAGGTTCTGAGATTCTGCGTTTCTAACAAGCTCCCAGGAGATGCTGATGCAGCTGGTCTATGGACCAAACTTTGAGTAGCAAGGGAGAGGACTCTACATGAGATAAGGAGATGAAGATTGGGAGAGAAAAGATCTTTTTTTTAATTATGTTTTTATTTTAATTCCAGTGTAGTTAACATACGGTGTTATGTTAGTTTTGGGTATACAATATAGTGATTCAACAATTCTATGCATTACTCAGTGCTCATCATGATAAGTATACTCTTTGAGGAAAGATTTCTTTTGATTAAAAGAGATGCCTGAGAATGGTTGCAGTATAGCTCTGCTTGAATTTATGAAAGGTACCTCACTAGATGCACAGCCTTATTCTGAACTGCATAAATATTTTCCAAGCAAATTTAATTAGGAATTTATTTAGCCAAATATAGTTCATTGCGATGATATGTGTAGGTGTGAGATTTTCTGTAAGTCCAAGTAAACCTAAAAATCTGCCTGGGTATTCCAGAAAAAGAAAATTTTTTGACTGCTAAAATATTGTTTTGGGAGTTCAAGAGAATTGTCACCAAAGCACTTTTTTCCCCTCTAAATAGTTCTGTTATAAACCAAAAAAGTTTGAAAATATTTTAAAATATTTTAGATGTGAAATATTACCTTTTATGGTTTATCTTTCTCCTTAGAATTTATCACCATCTGACACGTTACATGTTTGAATATTATTTTTCTCTTTGCCCCTACTAAAATATACACTCCTTGAAGGCAAGGAGTTTCCTCCGCTTTACTCCAGCACCTGTAGTAGGTGGCACATAGTAGGCAAAATTCAAAAAATGATTTGATGAATGAGAAAATATATAATTTTTGAAACACGTCTTTAAATAATAGACTAATACACTATAAATTACTAGAATTGTCTTAAAAATAATTCTCTACCTGTGAAAATTTCTCAAGCAAGCAGCAAAAGAAAGATATAAATTACAAATGAATATTCACAGGTTTATTACATGTATTCCTCTCATTTCTGACTCTGACCCAGTAAGAAGTTAAGGTAAAAAAAATAGTTTTAAAATTATCTTAAGAGGCAGAAGGTAGAACAGTGGTTGTCAGGAGCTGGGGGAAGGGGAGAGAGCAGGGAGTTCGTGTTTAATGGGTATGGAGTTTTCATTTGGGGATGATGAAAAAGTTCTGGAGATGGATGGTGGTAATCATTGTACAACAATATGAACATGTTTAAGATTACCAAGTCGTACATTTAAAAATGATAAAAATAGTGCTCGCTTCGGCAGCACATATACTAAAAATGATAAAAATAGTAAATTTTATGTTAGGTTTATTTTGCCACAATGAAAATATATTATCTTAAATATAAATAATTCAGGTGTAGTTTAAAAAGCAATTCTGCTCTACATCTGCATGGATTGCTGTCTTCTTACCCTTTGGTTTTTGTCTTTCCCTCCCATCACTATCCTTTTTGCAAGACAGGTTCTAATTTAGAATAAACGGAATTTCATTGTGAGTTATCTGTTTTCTTATCAGCATGCTAGTCTGTCTATAGTGGTTCTCAAAGTGGTTGTTAAAAGATGGTCTTGTAACCAGCAGCATCAGCTTTATTTGTAAACTTGTTTAGAAATACAAATTCTTAGTCTCCTCCAAAGACCAAGTGAGTTAGGAACTCAGGATAGGCCCAGCAGCCTGGGTTTTAACAAGCTCTGCAGGCACTTAGGGTGGACACTTAAGTTTGAGAAACACTGGTCTATTATAGCACATGTAACCTTAATCCCACCCCCATGTGAGAGATATTATGTCCAATTTCTACTCATGGAATGATGGAAAAAAGTCATAGTTTGTGAATATTATCTTTCCCCCAAAGCTAATACCTCTTTTCCCCAAGACATAACATATGAATTGGAGAAATGTAGAATTTATAAGAGTATTACAAATACACAAATTTCTTGATAGATTTGCCACGCAGTGCGTGGGAAGACATCTGTGAGATGCATCGGAAGATCTTCATCTTCTGAACATCTGTGAGATAAACTTTTACTTAGTGAAGGCAGTTTAAGTGCCAAAAAAATATAGGGAGCCGGCTTAAAATAAGACTTAGGGGTTATGAACTGACAATATCTTACCTTTTGAGCTTTGTGTGAAAATTATAGTTTAAGAGATAAATAAGAGCACACAAATTACAAATAAAAATTTTCAACAGCTTTTACCTTTCCTTCCCACCAAATTACAATATTGTTGATTTATCTGCTCTATGCTACTTACCACATGTAACGGTGCACATCCCAAATTCTACTTCTTTGACTGCTGTATTATTTGAAACTAAATATAAAGTGCAAAGATACATTATTTAATCATGTAAAAACTTTTTTAAGTGAAAAACTACTTGAGGGTGAAGGATACAAGCATTCATGGGAAGCAGATAGTTTTTAACTTTAATCAAAAAAAATTTTTTTAACTTTTTAAATCAGAAAAGTAGTGTCATTCCTAGTACATCTTCTATTATTGCTTAAATCAAAAGAAGCCTAAATCGTGAAAGTAATGAATTAAATTAGGAAATACTTTGCAAAGAAGGTCTATATTTAAACTCTTATATAAATTAAAAATAATTTTTTTTCATCAACTTAATACATGGTGAGTTAAAGTTCTATAGGTCAGAAAAACAAAACAAAACAAAAGCCTGCCAACTGTAAGGCCCGATTTTTTCTATTCTCTATTTTCCAAAAAAAAATTGTGAGTGCATCATTTCCATCCAAAAATAAGTCTTTTTCCCAAATGTTCATTAAAATCTCTGTTATAGGTTGGTTCTATACATTCTTAAATTAAGATGATAGATTATTCCCAAGAATTTATCCCAACACTTTATTTATCAGTATAATTTATGAATATACATGTGTTTGAGTAGTTAAATATTATTGCTTTCAAATCACATTTCTCTGTTTCTAATCTGGCATGATTTCCACCAGCCAACTCTTCACAGCAGATTAGGACTAATATCTCAATATAAAAAATATTACATGAGGGGTTAGAATTTTTTTTAAAGCATTGCATCCTAAATTAACAATATTACATGGGAAAGTGCATTGGAATTGGGGTCCACATTGCTTCTTCTACCACTAATCATCTGAGTTTGATCAAATTACTTAAAACTCTGTCAGGCCTACTTAACTCTTCTGCAAAAATCTGAAAAGGAAAATCTATCTTATTTGATTATTGTAAGAATTAAATGAGATAACATATGTGAAAACATTCTGTAACTTATTTACTGCTGCAAACATGCTTAAGATAGCATAACTTCATTCACAGTCAGTGCACATCACAGTTTTTCCTATTTTGATTACTGTAAGACAATACATTCATAAACACTGTTATTCTATATTTACAAGCACCAAATATACTGAATAATAGTACGCTGTTGGTGTATACATGTTAAGTAAATTAATATTGACTTTGTTAAATTATTTGGCCTATCATGATCAATTTTGAAATGACATTTTTGCTTGAAATGCTTGGATACTTTCTGCTGGCACATTATGAGATATAAATTAAAAGACAAATCTTGAACATAGAAAACATAGTTACGAGGATGAGTATTAGCTTTTAAATACAACTTCTTTTAAAAAACCATTAATCAGCCCCACTATTCACTACCTATGCAACTTTCGGAAAGTTACTTAAGCTCTCTTAACTCCAGAAAAAGACTGGATTTAATCAGATGATCTCTAAAGTCCCTTTTGGCTTTGATTGACCATTAGGTCATTCAATGACTTTTTATTTTATTTTTTGAGAAAGAGAGAATGAGTGTGGGTGGGGCAGAGGGGACAGAGGGAGGGAGAGAGAGGGGGAGAGAGAGAGAGAGAGAGAGAGAGAGAGAGAGAGAGAGAGAGAACCTTAATCAGACTCCACACTCAGCATGGAGCCCAACCCCATGACCCTGGGATCATGACCTGAGCTGAAATCAAGAGTCAGATGCTCAACTGACTGAGCCACCCAGGCACACCTCAATATCAGAGTTTTTTTTTTTTTTAATTTTTTAAAAGTTTATTCATTTTTGAGAGAGAGAGAAAGAGAGAACGAGCAAGCATGAGCAGGGGAGGGGCAGAGAGAGAGGGAGATACAGAATCCAAAGTAGGTTCCAGGTTCTGAGCTGTCAGCACAGAGCCCAATGTGGGGCTCGAACTCACAAACTGCGAGATCATGACCTGAGCCAAAGTTGGACGCTTAACCAACTGAGCCACCCAGGTGCCCCCAACTTTCATTTTTGATGGGAATCCTATACTGGTGAGTCACAGAAATTACATGTACCTGGACCTCAGTGTGATATTTGTCAAAATTTCCTGTCATATATCTATGAGTAAAAAGGAAAAACACAGTCTGAATGTCAGTAAACTTTTTATGTGTAACTTGCTAAACAGTAATATCCACTGATGCTAAGTAATTGCTTGGTGCCAATTTGTAAGGAATGATGTGTCACAGGACTCTGTCCTGTTTAATATTTTTATTACTGACTTGGAAAATATTGGTATCCTGCTGACTGAATCCAGAGATTCTGAAAAACTAGAAAGGATAGCAAATATGTTTGAAAATAAATCTGGCTCTAAAAATGACAGGTTGGAATACCAGGCAAGTCTAACAAAATGAAACCTTAAGAGAAATAAAAGTCTTACATATAGAGCCAAAAGCTAACTGTCCCCAAAATACTAATAGGCTGTCTTAACTTGATAGAAGAACAGGTGAAAATGAGTAGAAATTTCAATAGTAACTTCAATAGGAGTCAAGAATGTGATGAGTCTTTCTTAAAAATCTACTGGGTTTTAGACTTTACTAATAAAAGCCTGGCATCCACCATGATGTAGATAATGATCCTCATCTTTTTTGTTCTGGCAAATCCTGGAATGTTTTCTTCAATTCTCATCACACTTTAACTGTTGGTATATACCATCAGAATCCAATTTTAACTTTTGAGTTTCTTTTTTAAGAGCTTATATGTAAGGTTGATATTTCATAACTTTTATTCTTTCTTAGAGGTGTTCCAAAGAAAAAGAGAAAATACAGTTATATTTATACAGGACAAAACTTATTTTATAGAATGAAACTCATTCTACTTTGCAATTATTATTTTTTTTATTTTGCAATTATTATGTAGGTCTGTTCTTGGTTCTTTTATAAATGTAAGCTTATAGGTATAGGATAACTATAAATCTAAGGGTTTAGGTATAGGTATACCATTATGTTTATAAAAGGTATAAAAGGTATGGGGGGTATAAAGGGTATGAGTATAAATCTAACATAATATCTCAGTAATTTTTCCTATATTTTTTAAACATTTTGTTATTTCATCATCTGTAATGATTGATTTCATTATTACTTATTGATCATTCCTAGCTGTGTGTGTTTTTTTTTTTTAAAAGACTAAGACAACAAAATGGAAGAGTGGTTGGAATTGCCTAGAAAGATGATGTGACTGTAAAATAAATCATAACCATTATATCATCCTTTGTTTTATTTCTTTGTCCAAGAAATTGCATCATCTTTCAGAAAGATATAAAAGAACTCTAGATGCACCTTTCTTCTAGTCCATTTTCATCTTTCATTGAACATAGTTGAGGTTTTTGAATTTCGGTTTTTGGTCCATAAAAGGAGAAGAAAATTGACAGAGAGAAACATTTCACAATTGTTGGATGAATCGGAAGATGAACATAGAGATAGAGAGCAGCACCTTAAATGCTAAGGATGATGGTGAAATTGATTGCATAAGCAAAAGGAGAGATGATAACTTAAATATCCTAGATGAATTTTCTATAACTCAAGAGTCAATGGATTAATGAGTATTACATTTCTAAAGATGAAAAGGATATATAGTATTTTCATTCAGTTAGTCTTTCAACAGGAAAGACTTGATCCTTAAATGTTTTGTGAAAATAAACTGGACCATACTATTTTGCTAAAAGGATATAGACAATATTCTTTTCTTTTCAAAGCTCCTTACACCCCAAAATTTACTTGATAAGGTTTGTAAATGGACAGATCATGATGGCAGGTATGTATACAAAGGTAACTAAGAGAAAATAGATGATGTAGAAATGAATAAAATTCATTGGGTCAATCATCTAATTGGTATTTATAAATCTAAAATGAAAACATTTTGCAATTAGGGAGCAAAGAACATGGCAGTCCTCTCATCAACAAAATATGTGGCTTCATAGTTTTCAAAAGTACTGTTTTGACAATGCAAGTGCAAAAAGAACCAAAGGAATAAACTAGAATCTATTAGAGATGTACTTGAAATCTGGAATCAGTATTTATAAGATGGATACATTCCAGATTCATATATAACAGTTAATGAGCATTTAGTTGCATTCAAAGTGCCTTGCCCATCTAGGGTATATACATCTTCAAAACGAGGAAATATGGAATAAAAATTTGTAGTTTTCCATATTTACATTCTTATTAAAATTTCATTTAAGTTGCTTCATTAACCCTTTATTCTTACTCTTGTAAATTACTTGTAAAATGCTTTAAAATCTAAAAAAAAGTGAACTGGATAGCAAATAGTAATGACTGCTTTTACTGGTCCATGGAGGGTTGAGGGGCTTTGTCAAATTTTAATAATGGTTCTAGAAAATTTCCAATCTTAGACACTTCCAATTAGTTATGGTTCTGGATTCTCACTCTTCCCAGGAAAAAACAACTACACATGAAACTGTACATATAAAATTCCAAAAGGTAGACCCCCTAAAGTTCACAGATGACAAAACTGAGACAGTGAGAGAATAAATACCTTGCCTACATTTGAATTTGTATCTAAGACATTATAACTTCATTGTCTGGACTTAGCCTAAACTCTATTTAGCACATTACAGGTAGAACTATCCCTTGAACAGTTTAATACTAAAATTGTTAATTATTTTTAAAACTAGAGTGAAGCAACAGCTATTCTGCCTTAAAACATGTTTTCTCGCCTAGTCTCTTTCACACTTCCAAAGTCAAGGACCTCGACAAACTCCCTGTAATGTTATCAAGGCAATACAAACCTACATCTCACCATTAACCTCAGATAGTCAATTTCTTTCTGTCGCTGAGGGTCACTATGTCATCAGGAAATAAAAGAAAGGCTAATAAATACAGCACCTATTCTGTATGTCTAGGAGATGTGAGACTGCCAAGGAAATTAAAAGAATCTCAGCCAGGTCATTTATGGGGTAAGGGAATCAGTCTCCTTGAGCTGCAAATCTGCAACTGGTTTTCTACCAACCAGAATGTGTTACTAACCAATAAAACATATTTAATGGCTTGTCAAGTTTTATTGCTTAATGACCCAGCAGAATAAGGCAAATTTACGAAACAAGCACAGACTCATTCCCCCTTGGCTAACAGGTATTATCCAACAAAACCACTAGTTGGATCCTTAATAGGTGTTTCCTACTACTATCATTCCATTGTGGATAGAATGGAACGTACAAATATCACCAGGCTACAGAGGTGCTCAAAGGTGGAGCTGCATGAAGCTGGCAAGGGGCTTCTGGGCAGTTTTGTCAGCATTTTGGTCTAAGATGTGTCACAGTGAGGGGGATTCTTAATTCCAATGAGTTCCAACCTAAGATCAAATGTGGAAAGTAGTACAACCTCAAAGTAATTTGGAACTTCAAAAAAATTTTAAAAAATAAAATGGGAAAGAAATAGAACTACAAGGAGTCAAAATAATTCCTGTTGGTGAGAGGCTACTTCCGACTCCTACTCCTTAACAACAACAACAAAAAGCACATATAACAATTTCTATAATGTGCTTATTTGTTTTTCTTAGCACAGTCTCTTCAAGGCCAATAGGCATATGAAAAAAAGTATAAATTCAGGCTGTTTGCAATTGAGCTCTACAGATGCTAACAGGGCTAATAATTCTTATTGTCCTCAGACAGAAAAGGCTTTGCCTTCGGCTGGTCCACGTTAAGGAGCCTCCCGACCTCACCATCCTCCTCTGGCAGAGTTTGGGCCTCGCTCTCAGCCTCGGCCTCGTTCTCGGCCTCCTCCTCGCCCTCATTCTCGCCCTCGCCCTCGGGGGCCAAGCTGGGATCCTGGACGGCAGTGAGGTTCGTCCCACACGCGGACCGGAGGCCCGCCAGGAGAAGCCAGCCCACGGTCAGCAGCAGCCCGTTGGAGCAGCCCGCGCCCCCGGGGCTCATGGTTCTCGGCCCCGATGGCCGACCAAGACGCAGTCGCAGCCGCCCGCTCCCGACAAGAGGTGCGTCGAAGAGAGGAGCCGCCAGACTCTGAAGCTCCGCGCCGCGCCGCGCCAGGTAACCATTGAGGCGTCACGGCTCGTCACCGGCAAGCGGAACGCCTCCCGGGCTCCTAGCGCCCTTGGAACGCGCGCGGGGCCGCCTGTAGCGCCTCGCCCGGCACTTCCGACTGGGCTTAGGCCGCGCGGCTCGCTTTCCGGAGTTGCAGGTGCGCATGCGGTGGCAGGAGCTGCGCTCATTTCCTCAGTTACTAAGCAACCCGCCAGCTTTTCCCTCTGGTCTTGCTTGCTCACCCTTGTCTCTTCTGAAACACGTTCGTCCTTCCTACGCTTACTCTTCTGCAAACCATATCCCTAGACCCACGAAGCACTCTTCATGTGACTTGGATCCAGATTCCTTGTACAGGATATCCTACTCGGCATGTATCAAGAAGGATTTGTCAAAACCTCATTAAGTATGGTGCCACAAACTAGATCCATATCTGCAGGTGAGGCTTGATTTGCAGAGGATATAGGAACCCACTTTCTTGGCTCTGAAATCTTTTGTTAACAATGCATCGAGTGTTGTCTAGTTTTTAAGATTTTGTGCTGTGCCATCAATTCCCCAATTCCACGTAGGGCTTCTTTACGCTAGATTAGGCGGTAGGGAGAGAGAAAGGAAAAGGGGAGGGTGCGTCTGTTGCCAAGCTTCTTCTACCACGTTCAATATTTGGATAGATGATGTTTTTGTAACCAAATCTAGAACGTAACCTTTGTTCCTGTTAATTTCTGTCTTCTTGCTTTGGGCCTGTGTTTTAAGCCTCATTGAGATTTTTTTTCAACTCTGAATCTGTTGTCTAACATATTAGATAGTTCTCCCAAGTTTGACTCCCAAGTTTGATTTGGAAAATATGTCTCTTTCAGATCAGTAACAAAAATGTTAAAAAGGGCAACAAGCTAAGAATAAAGCACTAAGAGGCCATTCTCTGAAAATAATCCATTAATCCACACATTGATTTAACCCAAGAATCAATTCTTTTACCAAAAAAGAAATCCCACCTTTTTCTAAGGTTGAATCAGACTGGAAGCAAGAATACTATGGCATTGCCACTTGAATCAAAAAACCTTAGATATAAGTATAACTCCCCACTGCCCTCTTAATGGTATTCAGTGTCAATATGCCCAATTATATCATAGAAATAAATGAAATCCCATTAAATTCCTTCCATGATGGTGTTGTAAGGGTTAAATTGTAGTGTAGGGCTAACCTGTAGCCTTGGGAAATAACAGCTTTGTTTTGACACTGTAGGTTAAGAGATAACAGCCTTGTCCTATCAATCAAGGGAACAAAAGTTCAAGAGAAATCAACTGGATCGGTGTTTGATTGGATCTGGGCAAGGGCATGTTGAGAACTTTGAAAAAGTGGGCCAGAGGCAGGGTCAAGGAGGTCAGCTGGTTGCGGCTTAACCGCAGAAGGTCTGAACTGTTTCCACCCCCATCTGGAAACTATTTCTTTGTTCCCAGGTGATGATAAGATGATGTGGTTGGCTATAAAACTCTACCTAGGATGTTCGAGGCCACACTCTGGTCAAGTGTGTCGGTCCCGATCAGTCGGCTTGTCTCTCATTGCAATAAACTTTGTTGTGACTGTCACTGGTGCCCATAGCATTCTATTTCAGGAGTCGTGTGGATGCAACAGTGCTAATTTCAACAAGTCTGCTTTAATTAATTTAGGCTTCTTTAAGAACAGAAACATAGACTTTGTAATCAAGAGTTTAGAAATCATGTAATACTCCAATCCCTTCATTTTTCAGTGAGGAGATTAAGAACTGGCCTTCTAGTAAATGCCTCACATAAGATCATCCCGCAAATTATTTGTAAAGCAGGCTCTCACAACCATATCTCCTGAATGCTCATTGGGTGCTTAGTGATTCATATAATCTAAAGTTAACAATGAAAAAGCATTCAGTGGGGTAATAGAGAGTCAAGAGTTCAAGCAATGTTCAATGAAAACAAATTAGGGTTGAAATTTTTTTATCTTGTTATTCCAAGTTTGATTAGACCTAATAGCTACAATGTGGTAGTAAGAGAATATTGATGAATAGACAGTTCAATGGATTTAAATGTGAAATTTGAAACAGTTTGTTTAACTGTTTCTACATGACCTTATCCCATACTTTGAGGTTTAACACCAATTCCTATGGCACGTGGGCTGAAGAATAACCTACTGCAAAGTGAATTTAAGGCATAAACTCTGGCTTTTGGAACATATGTACATCCAGCCATCACAGACCAACAGATAGGCACATAACTGAGAAAAGTGTTAGGATGGTCTTTAGAGCCACTTATTTTTAACAAAAGTAGATTAGTTGAAACAAAAGCAGACATTTTTATTTGAATTTTTCTCACAAAATCTTCTAGTTTTGAAATAAGTAAAAGACAAGGACTTCTAAAATGATCAGCATTAAAGTTTGAATTGGTATTGGTATCTGACAATACCAACTGGTATTGAATTGGTACCAATTGAATTGGTATCTGACAATATTTTATATTAACTAAAATACCATAAAAAAATATTATAGTGCCTGACAAATTATGAGGGAAATTAAAATGGGAAATTTAGGAATGGTCTTGAGATACAAAGGCCTTAGTTTCATGGTCAAATTAATAAGTCAAAATTTTTCCTTTAAGTGCTAAGAAAAATAATGTTTTCAAATATAAACTTTAAAAAGGAGATGTATGGTATTTCATAGGCAACATTGTTAAATGCTTCAAAAGTCAATTTAGGACACATATTTTCCTGAAAATAGTATTCTTTTTGGGCAAAGCAAGTCCCATAAACTCTCAAGATATATAATTTAACTCAAGGAAAAATTAATGACCAAATAAACAGCTTCAAAGAGAATCTAAATGGAAATTAAAGGTCTCAAAGAGGAGCTGAAAGACTTGACTATGAAATAAAGAATGTTAAAATAATATCTGTGATAGCAACAATACAAATCACTTATAAAATATTGTGTTATTCACCTGAGTTATGAGAAAATGTGTAATATCTATCCTCAACAGACTTACACTATCTCCAGTTGAAGCCACAAATAAGTGAAAGGTAAATGTTGAGGACACACTATCAAGAGGGATTGACCCTACTCTAACCTTCAGATACCAAGGACCAGGAATTACATCCTCAATCTTCTGACCAACTTCATTTCAGTTCACTCAGCTCCCCTCATCCTGTCTGGCTTTAAGCATCTCTACCTCTAGCTTCAGTTTCCAAGGCGCAGGGGTTATGCCAGTCTTCTGTGACTCCTCTTCCCTACCCCACCCAAACTTATCTCACCTCTCCAGGTCTGCGTGTACCTTTCTTGAACTTCCTTTGTGTGAGAATACTTGGCACGCCTAGAGGCAGTGAAATTCCTTTATCTAATCTCCACTCTTTACCCTAGAGGACCTCAAGGGCTGGAAAGGAACACCAATTTGAAGATTTGTGATGGAAACACAAGATAACAAAGGCCTAAATAAAGGATCACCATAAAAATGAAAAAAGAAATGAATGAAAGAAATTACAAAGGAAAGATTAACAAAATGGAATGACTTGGCTGTCTAAGAGAGAGGAAAGGAGCCAAATAAAGGGAATGGGGGGGGGGGGGGGGGGCGGTGCCTGGGTGGCTCAGTCGGTTAAGCGCCGGGACTCTAGATTTCAGCTCAGGTCATGACTCTAGATTTCAGTTCAGGTCATGTTCTCACAGTTTCCATGAGTTCAAGCCCTGCATGGGGCTCTGTGCTGACAGCACAGAACCTGCTTCCGATTCTCTGTTTCCCTCTGTCTCTGCCCCTCCTCTGCTAGCACTCTCTCTGAAAATAAATAAATAAATTTAAGAAAATAAAGGGAATTAGGAAAATCAGTAGATGTTTTGTTTAGGCAGGTTAATTTGGGGATCAAAAGCTTAAGGTTAAAGTTAAGTTGGAGGTATCAAAAGAAATCAAGTGGAAATGTACATTGGCAGCTTAAGATGACCAAATACATACACACACACACACACACACACACACACACGGCCAGAAGGTAAAAAACCACTGCCAGTGAAAAGATTGGCATGAAAAATACATATGTACATCCAGTTAATATGATATTCTAAGTATTTCTGTAACATTACAAAGTTACTAAAACTACTTTAGTATTTATGAAAATAGGTGTCTGGGAGATAAATTGATTTTGGCCTTAATATGCTTGAATTAGTAAAAAGCATTCCCCATAATAATCTCCCAGAGAGAAGGCCCTCAAACCACTTTATCCTATTTACAATCTCTAAGAGAAAAGAATTTTTTCTTCTTGAGACAAGTTTTTAAGAGCAGAGCTTTTTGTTCAGCACCCTTACCCCTCATCCTCTGCCTATTAGTTAAAACTTTATTGCTACACATGGGGGAGATTTTTGTGGTCGAAACTGTCAGAAGCCCTGTGAATTTTTGTATATAGGAATGGTAGTTTAAAACAGTCACATCCTCTCAAACTATCACATGTTCATTGGGAACTTTATGCTTTTATTCCAGCCTCAGCCTCCCCCACCCCTTTATTTTCTCATCTAATGCAGCTGCCCATAAAGGCCTTTCTTTTTAAAGTCCTTCTTAAGGCAATAAGAATTTACAATGTATCAGGGAAAGAGTAGTGCCCAAAAGATGTTCTTTCTCTGTTTTAATAACAAGGGTTGAAAAGGCCATTGAAAGTTAAATCATGTTCTAGGGAAATGTGGTCACATTTTGTGAAAGGAATAAGTGTCACATTGTGAATAAGTCTTGATAGAAGATATATAGTACTCTCAAATTCCTCTATTTGTAGGGCTTTCTAAGCTACATCTTCTATGATTGAATAAGGTACCCTGTCTGTAGTTATTCAGGTTATAGGTACACAGCTTCACTCAGCTATATGTGCCCCAAATTAATACATAAAACCATTTTAGAGTTATCCCT